TGAAGTGCCCCCAGCCAGACTTCCTCCTGGATTCTCTGAAGGACCCATTGGTGGATCCCTAAAACCTCCCTGTGGTCCGTGCCTTCCTCTGGCAGCACCCCCCACCCCAACGCCCCGGTCAGCACTCACATGGCCCTTTTGAACTGGTGTTGGAATCAGTCTTTGCTCAGATAAAAGAACATCACTGAAGCAAGTGCACAGACAGTTCACGCAGCTCCAAAGCAATTGCTTTGCCTGTTTCTCTCAACTCCGTGGCAGAATAGGTTTTGAATCTGAATTTTACAGGCAAAACTTAGAAAGATGGAGTAAGTTTCCCCTAATCCCTCCTATGGGCCGAGGGAAAAGCAGAACTCCAAGCCAGTCAACCCAGCCCAGACACACACTGAGCTCCGTGTCCACTGCCCTTGGTAAGGGGGTAGGCCCACCTCCATCACCCCTGGGTGAAGACAAGGGTGCAGGGGAATATTGGTGACTGCAGACTGAGGGCAGCTCTCCATCTCCCAGGACAGTGGGTACTCCATGAGGAGGGTGCTCGTTGCCTACAAATGAGGGCTGTGTCACAGGGAAAGAGCAGAAGTGGCCTTTGGACCAGATCTGAGGATAGGGACAGGACAGCCCGTGAGGGCCTGAGTACAGACAGTGGCCACACCTGTAAAGGCAGAACTCATACCGCAGCCTGCCGCAGCTGGCCAGACAGCCAGCATAGTATCTGCAGTCCTCCAGGATGTAGATTGCTGTCAGACAATAACTCTTGTAAGATGGGCCCAAGTTACCCTACACTTGATTAATAACGAACGGTTTGCCTAATTTTTACCCCCACTTCTTACATAAGACTCACCAGAGAAAGCCACACTTGCTCCCCTAACCCGTCACATATGAAGCCCCTCCTCTAGCCAGCCCACCTCCAGCTTCCCCAGGCCAGCACCCCCAAGCATGGCACATATCTGGAGCCTTCCCGCCTTCCCACTACCAAGTTCGCCCACACCTCTGCCTGCCTGTGTGTCCCTCCCAAAACGCAGGTCATATAGGATGCCCTCCTAAGACAAACTCTGAATGAACCGCCTTTGCTGTCTCGTTTGATTGGTCTCTGTTTATTTCTGCATCAGGTTAAGTTGTCCTAGGCACCGGTCCGGAAGGAAGGGGCTTCCCGGAGCAGCGGTGTGAGGACAGCCAAGCCAGCACTAGGCTGGGGCTGAGCCTCCTCAAGCCTCCTGGCCTCTGCGTGCAAAGTACCGTGTGGTCTGGGCTCCCACAGAGGGGTGGGTCATGTGTAGAGCAAACTCAGAGAGAAGCCATTTCCTCCCCACAGTGGGGAGCGGCAGTACTTGCTAGTACTTGCACGGAGTACTTGCAGTACTCCGTGCAAGTACTAGCCCTGAACAAAGGCCGGGAGGATGGTAGGGAGGAGGTTCTAGAAAAAGCCCCTGCAACCAAAAGAAGGCAGACTGCAGAGAGCAAGTAGGGGCAGAGCAGAGGTGACTGTGCAGGGTGAGGGTAGCTGGAGTTGGGGGCGGGGAAGTGGTGAGACATGGGCACCAAGCGCCAGGCTCAGCCAAGAACTTGCATGCCGGCCTCCTTGGGATCAAAGGTGTCTGGTGTTCCCGCTTTGAGAGGACCTTGTTGCAGCAGCACTGGATCAGAGCACATGACCCCAGTGTGTGCCAGACAGCAGCCCTTCCCTCCTGGTGTGGGAGCCCCAGTTCTTGTATGCGTCTGAAACTCAGAAGCTGTGAATCTGTTCTTGGTCAATAAAACTCCCCTTTGGGAGCCTCGCTTGTAATGCTTCTGTTATCAGCCCTTCCCCCTAAATTATTCAGAAAGTTTTCTGCACTCGGAAGCTCCAAGTGTGCGCACTCAGCACTTCCCACGTAATAAGGTTTAACAGGCAGATGTACCGCTGCCGGTGAACCGGGGCCATGATGCACTCGCAGATGCAGGGAACAGACCCAGAGCTGCCTGGGCTCCTCGTGCGTTTGAACTAGATCAGCTGCTGCCTACTCGGTCTCTCAGGTGTCAGGATGACAGGTGTGGGACAGCCCTCCCGACAGCCTCTCTCTTTGCACACTCGAGAGACTGCCTGGCGCTGGGCTGTCAGTGATAGTGATGCTAAGGCTTAACTGGGTAGCCTGGGAAGTGAGTGCCGCTGCTGTGGGGGCGTACACAAGGGGCTGGTCTCGTAAGGTGTGATGCATCTGCATCGTGAGACTCTAGACAACAACCTTTGTCTAGAGTGTGGGCGGGTGAGGGCCGACGTCCATTCTGTGGGTTATGTGCAAGGGGAGGAGTCATATTGTACGTGCAGAGAGAGCACTTTGGAAGCAGCTGTGCTGAGTCAGCCGTCTGCAGCCACGGGCCAATCCCACCTGCTACCTGTCGTCATAAGCGAAGTTTGGTGGGGACTCAGTAATGCTCAGACACTGGCACATTATCTCTGTCCACTTTGGTGCAGCCACAGCACAGCTGAGTGGTTGTGAGTGAAACTGTGTGGCCCACAGAACATAAAGTATTTATTATCTGACCCTTGGTAGAGTTCGCCAAGCCTTCATCGACACCAAACTGTATTTTGTTTTTTAGTCAGTTTTTTTGTATGGATTTTTATGGGTGGATTTTTCTGTCATGAACACGTCTGTAGGCGTTGATCTTAATGAATGTTTATACTCAGAAATAAAGTTCTATTTAGAAGAAAAGAAAAGTTTGCAGGACCACACGCCCCAATTTTGAGATTTACTATAAAGCTGTGGTTATCAAAACACTTATTGGCATAAGGATTGGTATATAGCTCAATCAAACTAAATAGAGAATCTAGAAATAGACTCAGACTTCTACGGGCAATTGATTTTCAACAAAGGTGCCAAGGTAACTCAATCGAAAAGGATAGACTTTTCAACAAATGGTGCTGGAACAATTGGATATCCAGAGCAGGGAGGGAAAGGAGAAGATTAAACTTCACCTTGTACCATAAACAAAAATGAACTTGCAATGGATCATAGATGCAAATAAGAGCTATAGCTATAAAATTTCTTCAAAGATTTCTTGGATAGAATACAAGAAGCACAAAATGGAAGAGAAAAAAATTAATACAGTAGAATTCATAGAAAAAATTACAGACCAATAGTCTTCAAAGACACTGAAAACTAGATGAAAAGACAAAAAAAGACTGGAAAAAACATTTGCCAAATGCATCTCTGGAAAAGGAGTTCTAGTGCAGAACATTTAAAAGGTTTACTGCTCAGTAATTAGCAGTCAACTCAGCTTAAACATGGACAATAGTTTTAAACAGATAATTCACCAAAAACACATACAACTCAGCACAGCAAAAGATGCTCAATATCATTAGCCACTGGGAAATGCAACTAAAACCTCAGTACGAAACCACAGACAGCCACTGGGACAGCTAGAACTAAAAAGACTAGTCCTATCACGTGCTGGTGAAGACGCAGGACCACTGGGGAGGTGAGAGGCAATAGCAACTTTGAAGAGCAAGTGGCATTTCCTTAGAGTTACCATTCGTTACCCTAGGTAATGTACCAAGGGTATCCTAGGGTATGTATGAAGAAATAGGGGAGAGGGGATATAACAGTACCTAGAGCTGGTGCTAGAAATCTGTTGTGACTGCTGCTAAAGTCTGAGATGACTGGGATGAAGCGCATCCCAGGAGTTGTGCGAAACACTGACTACCCTACCACAGGTAATGTCAGGAACTACGGGCAGTTGGGAGAGCACAGTGATCTCTGGTAGGGATCAGATTGTCTGCAATTTATGCAGCAGAAGCAGCAGACACAGGATGGGAATTCAAACTGTTTGACAGTGGAGCGTGAGGGCACGAGCTTGAGGGACAGCCAGAATAAATGGAAACCTCATTATCCATGGATTATGCCTTGGAGCTCCGGTCCCAGGCAACTCTTATATTAGTAATTTGGCCAGCGGGCTCATTAAGCTCTTAAGAAAAGTGAGTCTACTTAATGAATTATTACAAGACGACATTTTACACACAGAGGGGCGGAAAAAAAA